GATGGCACAGCCCATCAAACACTGGTATGTACAAATGTTTTACCGCCACTGGCTTATTGATGGTGACTGTCCAGTGTCATCCGAGTATAAATAATATGCCCCAAAGCATTGAGCAGCGAGGTCTTCCACCAGGTTCCTGCCATGGCAAAGAGCTCTGGAGTAGCTCCTTGGACAAAGGCTCCATCGTAAGAACATGGAAGAAAGTAACTTTGGAAAGGACGGATCCTGATAGTTTCACACCAGCCTAAACGTGTTGGTGGCTTGGAAGGAAATATGGAATCTGCATATATCTCACCAGGACAAAGAGAAGTGCAGGTTACTTTCTGCACTGACATTCCCTCACAAAAGGCCCCGCCATTGAGAGGCGCTGGGTTGGTGCAGGTCCGGGAACGTTTCTGCCATCCTCTACCACAGGGGACATTGCAGGCTGACCACTCCGTCCAGGAAGACCAGCCTCCATTCACTGAGAGAGAAAACACGGGGAGGGAGAAACAAAAGGAGAGAGGTTTTTACTGAGTGCCTACTATGTGCAAGCCACTGTGCCGGGTGGTGTGAGTCGGGCCTCTGGGAATCAAGAGACTGTGTAGACCCAGACCGGCTCCTCTGTTGTGACGCAGCACGGGGGCTTATCTCAGTCTCTGCCCCTCAGCCTACTCCTCTGAGATAGCAGGGATGCTTGAAATCTGCTTTGCAGGGAAATTATGAAAAGTAGAAAGAGCTCATCAAAATATCTCCAAAGCACTCGAAAATCTACAGCATAATAAGGGCAGATCAGCATGTGAAATTCCCACACTTAAAGTGCTTCGAAATACATCCCTGGGCTCTTCTATTATGGAAAGGAATACCTTTACTTCAATAGCTGGGAACCTTCTTTATACACTACCTAAAATATTCAGCAAATCGTAGTGTTTGTTTTGGGTGGATTTCATATGCCAGGAGAGAAACTGACTGACGGCAGGTCTGGGAGAGGATGGGAAGTGGATGTTGGTCTGGGGAGGGGTGGGAAAACAGAAGTGGCCCACTTCAAGCCTTTTCAAATGTAAACACAATGGTGGAAAATAAGCAATGCTTTATGATCATAAAGAGAGATATTGGAAATGCCACCGACTAAAAGTCCAATATTTGATGGAACAGCAAACATTACTAGCAAGAGGGAGGAGGGATGTTTTCTCACATGCCAATAGGGAGGCAGGAGAGAGGTCTGTAATAGATATCACTCCCCCACCCCGACCCCACCCCCCAACACACACACAATAAAATGCAAAGTCCCTCTACTCCTTCCTCTCAAGTCTTTCCTGGCCTGTGGGTTGGGCTTACCATAGACCACCACAGTGGCTGACAGGCTCCTCCTCTTGGCCACAATGTTGGCTGCCACGCAAGTGTAATTCCCCGAGTCGGAGAGCCGAGCCTGTCTGATGATCAGGTTGTGGTCAGCCCTGGTGTCAATGTTCTCATCTTGGTCAGCATCAATGGGCTCTTCATTTTTCAGCCATTCCACCTACAGGAAGACATGAAGGTTCACCGATGACATCAAAAGTAAGAACACGTTGTTCCCTCTCTCCACTTTCCTGCCACCCCGAGGGCAGTAGCCTACGAGTGTTGAAATGGCTTCTCTTAAGACATTGAGACTCGAGCAATTTCTGGTCAAGAAACAAAAGCAGAATCCCCCATTACCCAATGGGTCCTAAGGAAACTGGCAATGAGATCAGGTACAACTTCATGAGAAGACATTGGAGAAGACCCAAGCCGGACCTCTAGAGTCCCCAGTGTGAGGACACACAGCACTCTGTTATTCAGAGGTTAACACTTTGCCACAAGATGCTCAGTTGAACTTGCATTGACAAACATCTGGTTTCTTTCCTTGATTTTTATGCTTCTGCATTAAGAAATTGACAAATAATAAATATATGAGGGCTTTGGTATGAAAAAACTAATAAGAACACTTTTCTTTAATTTAAACAGGGTGTTTGAGTGTTGAGGTGGGAGTTATTTCTAAATAATAATGCAAGCTCTTCATTTCATATCTCACCCATTTTATTTAGTAAATTTGATATATTCAGGAATTATAAATAGAATTTCAAAACTCACTGTCATCACACTGATTCATACTGAGTGACCCTTTAGAACAGAATAGAACTGGCCCCATAGGTTTCTGAAGCTACAAATCTTTATAGGAGCAGAAAGCCTCTTCTTTCTCTGTGAAGTGGTTAATGGATTTGAACTGCCAATTTTGTGGTTGTTAGCAGTCCAGCCTGAGCACCATTCAGGAAAATGAAAACTCAAATTAGTAAGTGGAAAACATAAAAATAATACAAACCCCCAATTTAATTTGACCTATTTCCTTTAAAATGGAAGAAAGAAAACAGGTGGCTGCAATAAGGTCATTTTATCATGTTCCATTATATTAAAACTCTTCGGTAATGGTATTGCAATAATGGGTCCAACGTGGAGCTCAGAAAATCAATACATATATTCAGAACTTGTACTCTGTGCAGATAGGATAAGATGCTGTTTAAGTCGATAGGTGTTCCTGTCAACATGCTTTAATGAAAGCATAAGAATGTATAAAGGAAAAAATAGCACAGATTTGGGCTATCAAAGACACCATAGTGAGTTTAATGTTTAGGTAGGGCTCTCTAAGTTTGGAACTTTGTTTCTTTGATGACAATTGTGTTACGCCTCAAGGACTCAACAGACACTTGTATAGTCTTAGTTACGAGGCATCGAGGAAGTACCCTGACACGCTGAAGGTTCACACGCTGCTCTGAATTCCAGGCCTGTGAACATGCTCATCACAGATAATGCAGTCTCCTCTCCCCAGGTTCGCCTTACTCTGACCCTGTGCCACACTGGTCTTTTGTTGAGCATCTGGGAAAGATACAGACGGCAGCTTTCTGCTCCCTGGATCCTCAGCCATGCCAAGATGAGGTGAACCAGCCTTAACTCTTCTCTTTCGTCAAACAGCCTGGGATTTCCCCTGAATTAAGCTACTATTGCTTTGGACTTTATTTCCACTTCTAAAGAGTGTCTCTCCTGTCTGGTGTCGTCTTAGTGCCACGAGACTCATCTCTCGTTTGACAGTAACCATTTGGTTATAGCTATTAGTGTATGTGACAGAAAGCACTTTAATGGAAACATAAAACCTGTCATTGAACACTGAAAGCCATAGTGGCGATTGCACCAAAGAAGGTCAAGCAAAAGCACATGCCTCAGGGGGTATTGCCTCATATACTGACCGTCATTAGCATAGATAATTGAACACTTGTTTTCAAATAAGATGCCTCCTTACATTTCTCTACTTAAATCTAAAAAATTCTAATTCATCACCCATAACCAGATGGCATCTGCTACATAACTAATTGGATTAATAATGATTTGTTGGTCTGTGAAAAAAAGGAATTTAGTTAGAAGAAACTTATAATGATCCTTCATTGTTTACCCCAACTACCAACCCCAAATCATTATTTAAAATTTATCCTAGTAGATATCTCTTTGAAAAGAAAATAATAAAATGATAGCAATAGCCAAAAGACAAAGATGGGAGGACTACTTTGAAACACAGAGAACAGCTGTAGAGAGAGAGTAGTACCAAGTCATTAAGGAACAAACTCCCCAGCCAACCCCAGGAGTTCCTAAGGGCATCCTCATGCTCTAGAGACTGAAGGAGTATATACTAATAATGACTAGTAGTAAAAGTGATTTCCCTATTTCATAAAGCAAGAGAGTGAAACTAATTTGAAGGCAGTCTATGATAGAATGTTCCCTCATTCCCCACTGAGATAGCAGATATAGCCACTACTGACACAGCGGTTACAGTACTCAGCTGATAATCAGAAAGTTCCAACACACAAACCACACCTTCGGAGAATTTTACAACTGTGGAAGCCTTCAGGAGTGCTGGTGGCATGGTGGGTTGTAATTTGTAATTTAGGCTGCTGACTTCACTGACAGCCATTTGAAACCAGCAGCCACTCCATGGGAGAAAGATTAGGTTTTCTACTCCCATAAAGAGTTACAGATTTAGAAACTCATGGGGGCACTTCTATCTTCTCCCATAGGGTTATCCAATTGGAATTGACCGGATGGCAGTGAATAGAAACCCTCTATTCCTTCAAATGGGATCGCTTTGAGTCAGAATTGACCAAAATGCAGTAGGTTTGTCTGTTTGCTTGCTTGCAAAGGAGGTGAACAAGATCAACACAGATTGTTATATCAATCTGTGGATTGATTAATGGATTAATGGATAAGATGGGAAATATGTAAATTCATAATTATATATATATTTTTAAATATGTCAGGAGAACAGAGAAGAC